ATCTCCCTCTCATCTAGCTGCTCTTCTCGGTCCCGAGCTCTAGCCGCCTCTGCGTAGATAGCCTGGAGTCGGGCGACCCTTCCGCCATAGGAGCGGATGTAGGTATCCGAGCCCTCGGGCTTCCAGCGTCCTAGCATATCTCTATCTGCCGGCGGGATCGGCTTTAGGCTCAGCCCGGTGGGTAGCACTGCTCTCTCACTGTGTTCCGACCAGTAGCCTCGGGCCACCGTCGGGATCCCCACCATAGCCAGTAGCCCCCATCGCATCTGCGTAGGTAGCCATCTTCTTCTCCAGGGCGGCTCTCTCGCCCAGCCTGGGCATGAGATAATCCCGCTGGTAGCCCGCGTGGTTCTTTAGCAGGTTGAAGCCCGCCAGTAGCCAGCCAGGGTCCTCGAAGTAGGCTCTCTCCGAGATGCATACAGGTAGCTCCCGTATGCGTCTGTTAGCCCCGGTGGTTTTCGTCCGTCGCAGGATGGTGGATAGCCGACCTTCCACCATAGCCAGTTCATTTGGGACCATAGCCTGGAGGTCCGACCATCGTAAGCTGCCCCAGACCTTTAGGAGCTTGGCCCAGGCCCAAGCTCTCCAGCCGACGGCCACAGTTGTATCCAGAACCAGGCGCTCCCACCTAGCCAGGATAGCCGCAGGATATCGGGGGGCTCGCCTCGTCCAGGGCGCCTTCCAGGATAGCCTCTCGACGACCGTATCCTTGATCGCCCACGCTATCCTGCCTGAGGTAGCTCTCGACTCGGTCGCCCATTCCGCGACCCTCTCTATCCAGCTGATGGCCTTGAGGATCGCCTCGGGGACCGTTCGCCCGCAGGGCTCGTCGCCCCTAGCCATGATGTAGTCGGCCAGGTCGGCCGGTAGCCCAGGGGGGCGTCCACTCTTAGCCTCCCGTAGCCATAGCCGCCATCTCACGTGTATCGAGACGTAGCGCTTGAGAGTGCTAGCCCGGGTTTTCCCCGCTAGCGCCAACACTGCTCTATCCGGGTCCAGGCACCCCTGTAGCTTCTTCAGCACCGGCGCCTCGCACAATTCTAGCTCTTCCTTGAGCTTAATAGCCCAGGTGGCTTGTAGCCTCTCTTCCCTAGCCTGCGCCAGGGAGCCCTCGTTGACCAAGCGCTTCTGCCTATCCCCTTTCGGGGGCTCCGGCTCGCTATCCTCCTGAAGGTCGATGCCTTCGATCGCCGGCAGCTTGCTGAGGTTAACCCAAGCTAGCGAAGTCGCCCTGTATCCCGACGTTCTCTCCACCAGGTCCCGAGCTTCCCGGGCCTCTTGTATCCACAGGTAGATCGAGTCGCCGATGTACTCGTCGTAGCCAACGCCCAGCTCCTCGGCCACTTGGTGCCCAATATCCTCCGCGTCCTCTAGGCCGAGGGTAGCCAGCTCGAGCACACCGAAGCCCCGCGACGCCAGATGCTCATGGCATCTATCCAGCACCGCACGCTTCTGCACAAGAGCGCTATCCAGCAAGGACGGAAGTCCGATGGGGCTCCCTATCCCTCCGGAGGGGGTAGCCGGTCCGACGCCCTGCTCTTCCGGCACAGCCGTGGGCAAGACGGTTGGACTCCCTGGCTCCTCGCCTCCAGGACTAGCCGGAATCACCGTAGTAGCTGGAGACTGTGGGCTAGCCGTCTGCGAAGCAGAAGGGGAGCGCGGGGAGGCCATTCTCGCTTGGCTGAATAGCCAAGTTCCCCTTCTATCCCCCACTACTTCAAAATTACCCCTCCTGATGGAGGACTTTATCCAGAATGGCAACGGTCACACACCGTCGTAGCCATTCCAAGTCACAGCTATCCTGTCTTCGCATGTCAGAGGCAACTCTCCTGCGAGCGACGATAGCGAACGAAACTTCGTTTCTAGCGAAGCTACCTTCGATAGCTTCGAGTAGTAATAGGTTAGCTAGCACACATAGTCGTAACTCGTTCCTCGTCACGAGGTACGTCATTATCATAGTCTTGGTCTCGTTCGTCGACGTCCTCCCGACGATCCTCTCTTGCTTCGAGATGCACCGTTATACAGCTCGATCCTCGTCACTGCCAACGTCTACACACAGACAATCAGCAGACTACGCGGTCGGCCCTGGAACTACTGGCACTACATCGACGTGACTGCGCGTGGCACCAGTACGGCGTCTGGCAACAGTTCCTGGCTGCATTACAGGACAGCAAGATGAGTGCACACAATTTCTTCGGCTTCCACCACGACAACACCGCGTTCACCATCTTCCACTATCAGCCTTCAATCATCGTCAACTGCAACCAGCTGTGTTGGCGAGCCCAAATCCATCTACGTTCTGCAACACGTCTTTCCCTACGGGCACGCATCGGCAATGCCAGGCTCGCACATTGGCGACCCACACCATCTGGACCGTGGATTACTACCTGCTGGTGCTCGGCACATTGCTTGGCCTTTTCCAGGTGGACACCGACTATTTCTCGGATCTCTCCTCCTACTTCCTCCCTTGATCACAATCCCTATTGGCTCCAAGAACAACAACGACACGGTGTTCATCCAGTTGTGAGACGATAAGAACCCCGGCACATCGAGACTGGCGCTACTTGTGATAAACAATTTCTCCATCTGCGCCGATCCACCTACCCACAAGCATGCCGCAGCCGTTCTGAGTCCATCTTTCGTCCCCCGCTTCTTTCCGTTTCTGACCTCCACACCCCATGGCCCCGCATTTGTGCGACGTGGAGTTGGAATGGTGGCTGGGCTACCTCGTGGAGATCAGAGTCTCCAGATGACCACGCTACCTGCCCTGAGAATACCGAGCAATTTTCTCAACCAACGCTTCGTGACGTCGCAGCAACGCTTCACCACTTCGCAGAACCGGTCCTACCTGGACACCCTTCACGGACTATGCCAGCTCAATCCATCCTTCCAGCGACTGGACTATTACGATCCCTCCATCTGCGAGTATCAGTACAGTTTGTTCATGACGGCACCACCACCTTGTGTGCTCCGAACTTTGCTACTCACGAATCTCCGACTGCACTACACATTGCGTCAACTCATGCTCTATTCACGGTGGCAACCATGCCTCAGCCTCCTGTCACCATCAGTTTACGCGCAACATGTGGATCGACGACAATACCAACGGCATGAACTCCCGCCGCGTCTACAACAAGTTCTACAACGCCGTTCCCTGCATCATTGCCAGATTCTCCTGGCACACTCTGGTTCGGCAATGGTGGCACTCCGGAACTCAATGCACCAATCAACAAGCATGCTCCAACGAACAAGTTCGTCATCAGTCCAGGCTTCGCTCCCCGAACAGTTCGAGAAACTCTGGGCGCACTCTGATCCGATGAATCAACAGTCACAGCTGACACATTCTGTGGTGGTTCATTCTTGGCGGCATCCTGAGGGACATTCGAACCTGAGCTCGCGGCACCATTCGAGCTCGGCGGCTGATTCTCTGCAGAACTCCACCATTCCTGAGTGTTCCAGGACCAGTCCTCAGGTCAAGAACTCCAATCGTCCTCGTACCAAGAGCAGTCACCAGACCAATCATCGACAGAACCAATCCACTCACCATTCCAATCCTGTTCTTCCCAGGACCAATCATCGTACGACCAGTCATCCTGATTCCACTGATTCCAATCAGCTTGCCATTCCATTCCATTTCCTTGTTCTTCTTCCGTCACTGCGGACATTTTGCCTTTTCCTTTCGGGCATTCCTTGCTCCAGTGGCTTGGGTCACCACAAAGAAAACATCCTTGTCCTTTTCCTTTGCCTTTCATTCATTTTCCTTTTCCTTTGCCCTTTCCTTTTCCTTTGTATCCTTTGTACATTCCTTTCTTTGCCTTTGAATCTTCCTCCTTTGTAACCTTTTCCTTTCATTCCTTTCCTTCCTGTCCGTGCTCCTTTTTTTCGCGTCTGCTGGACCGTGGTGGTTCCTACCACTCGGGACAGTCAAGTGTCTGCTCTTGATGTAGCTGTAGATAATTTCCAGTGCTTCATTGAACGTGTTGATATTCCGAACATTCAACCTCAGATGCTGCTGCAAAGGACCAACAGTCTTCTGCATTAGCAACGTGACAAGCAGGTCATTGTCAAGCGGTCTTCCAGTCGTCTTCTCATGCCAAAGATCTCATTCAAGAGATTCGTCGAACGAACCCTTTCCGGCAGTGAAAATTGACTATGCAATCGCCTCCAAATCTTAAACCCATTCTCTGTATCCTCATTGCGCACAATCGCTCGCGCTGCGCCATCAGTGATTTGCGCAAGCATATACGCCAATTTTCTAAACAACAGTGAAAGCTGATCATTCCGGGTGCGAGTCTGCTGCACATTGAACGCCTCACACAGATCGTCAGTAATGGCAACATTCGACCCTTCCACATCGTCCATTAGCAGTTCTGCCAGTGGCTTGTACAATCCTACATATCGCTTCAACTGCCACGACCTATCTTCCCATTTCTCAAGATCTCCATGATACACTGGTGGCGGGAACATTTTGATCTCTCCGCCAATCCCTCTGGTTCCAAGCTCCAGTCTGTCTCAGTCCCTGATTCCGCAGCCGAAGCTCCGCTACCATGAAAAATTCAACAGTGCAATACAGTCTTAGAGAGAAACCTAAGATCAATCACTTTCCCCTGTCACACTCAAGCAGATATTCCTTCGTGACGTCCAGCCTCAGTCCAGTCTTGAGCCAATGCCAGTCGGCATCGTAGCATTCTTTAATGCATCAAGAACATTCGGGTGTACATTGGGCTCGTGTCATTTAACACAGAGAGAGAGAGAGACAGAGAGAGAGAGAGAGAGAGCGAGAGCGAGAGCGAGAGCGAGAGCGAGAGCGAGAGCGAGAGCGAGAGCGAGAGCGAGAGCGAGCGCGAGCGCGAGCGCGAGCGCGAGCGCGAGCGCGAGCGCGAGAGCGAGAGCGAGAGCGAGAGCGAGAGCGAGAGCGAGAGCGAGAGCGAGAGCGAGAGCGAAACGAAAGAGGCAAATAGGCGGAATGGCATAGAGAAAGGGCTGCTGTTTTGCAATACTTAGCCAGGACTGCCAATGGGAACAAAGAGCTGATCGTGCCCAACCTTGCCCATCAAAGCGGCGCTGTCAAGATCGGTGTAAGTCTCTTGGCTGCATGCCACCTGGATTCCCAAATCCTCCTGCTGAGTTCCTTGCTGCACCATGCTAAGGCCAAGGTCCTTCCGCATTGCAAGACCTAGCACGCACACGCGGCACTGCACCATGACCCCAACAAACCCTCAAAAGACGAAGTTGAGGCAGTCCCTGGGGTGTCTACCCACATATGTGAAAGACAAGCGAGTGAAGTAGTAGACGGCATAGCCTAATACCTCAATCGGGCATGATAAAACGCAGCTCGGAGCACAGCAATGCACCTCCACTCTGCAGCGGACACGACACTAACAACGCCAAGGCACCATGCCCGCAAAGGTGACCTTACCGAAGTAAAGTCCCCCTCTCCTGTTTCTTTCGCCGATACTTTCTGCTTCTCTTTCTTTCGCCAGGCATGAGGGGCGAGCCCCCGCCGTGGGGCTGCCCGCTGTTGACGGGATGCATGGTATTACATGCGAAAGGCTACGACTCGCACGATGTGTGCCTCGCAACCGCCCCGAGTTCTGCTTCTCTCTCTCTCTCTCTCTCTCCTGGGCGTGGAGACGGATCAGTGTTCCCGGGCTTCAAAGCCCACCCCATACATTGATGGGGTCGGTCTGCTTATCTCTCGCTCGCTCTTGCTTGCACACAGCCGAAGTTACGCCCCCGCGACGCCCCCCCTGCGCGCGCGCGCACTGGGTCTCTCGCTGGCTCTCTCTCTCTTCTCTTCCGGGCTTGGGGGTTCACAGCAGCGTCCTGGCCGATCCCCCCGTGCGCGCACGCACACCCGCTATTCGCGGGATGTCCTGTTTGCTCCCCCCTGGAGTTTGACCCCAGGCGGGCTCGGCTATATTGCAACAAGGGGTAACCACACTGGACACTGGAACTGATTAGGGATTACGATAACTCTTGTGTGGTTCCCCCGTACAAGTGCTCGGCCCTCCTTTGCATCGACATGAATGGTGTGCAACACTCTCGCTCTCTCTCTCTCTCTCGCTTCCTTCTCCCGGGCTGACCAAACCCTATCCGCGCCAGTCTTACTGGCTTCTCTCCCTGGCTTGTACGGACACCTGCCAAGTGTGCATCATGTCGGAAAACGGGCATCTTAAACTATTGTGCGACCCTCTAAAGCAACCACAAAGGTTGGACATCCCCTTGCCCGTTTCGAATCACCTGGCAAAACCCCACACCTACAAATAAGCAACTTCAACAAGAGACTTGCGCGATCTTGTGTGGGCCGAGGTGCCGGCGACCCCCTCTTGAGAATTTTGGACACCCTTTCTGTAGCATTCCCAAACCGTTTTGGGCTCAAACCTCTTTTCGACAGTCCCCCTGTGCCTCTTTGTGTCTCTCTTGCTTGCCTACGCGCACGACGCTGCCTCAGACCTCTCACCCCGTCAGAGGTTGCGCTGCAACACAAGCTCGCTTTAGTGCAAGTGGCAAGGCGGGTCTTCTGGAATCGCAGATCGAGGCCGTCGAGACCTTGCTTCGCTGCTCTTGGCACTTGAGTTTCCCTGGAGAGCAACGAAGCGGAGCGAAGCGGAGCGAAGCTTCGGTGGGCCGCCGAGCCTTCGCTTGCGGCCTCGCCGCTTGCGGTCTTGCGGGCAGAGCTCCCCGAGGAGGGGCGGTCTCTTCTCGGAAGCACGGAGAAGGCCAAGGTGCCTCCCACAGGACCCCAAAATGCAGAAATGGTGACACCAAGGCTTTAGGAGTTCGCTCAGAAGGCCTGCAACGTCAGTATGAGCTCAACAACTTAAAACTACAACAACCCTAAACCCACACCCGCAACCTCACTCCCAATGGATGTTTTGCTCGGTTGTTTACAAAAAACCGAGCAGACTTCAACATCAGATGAAATTATCCGAATGAACTTCGGAACAAGTGGTGGAAAAAAAACGACTGACAAGTAGGCCAGCAGAATCGGAATATAGCAAGAGATCAACAAACAGAAAACTCGGATTAATCTCACTCGTTGTTGATGTTCCCAAAGCTCTTCACCGTCTGCTTCCTCGGTTCTCATCACTTGTTCACTTTGCTCTTCTTTGCTCTTCTCCCACCTACCCAGTTCCACCGGCCTCTCAGCCCATGTCCCAACTTGAGAAAGCTTCACGAGACAGCACTTCACCAGAACAGGCAGCAGTTATCAGGACCTCCATAAATGTCAATTTTCCAGCTTCACCGGACGAGGACACATCCTTGAGCAGGACCAGAGAATTGAACCTTTTCTCGAGCGTTTCTGACGTATTGCCTGGTCCGAAAATCTCAATTTCGATATAGTTGTCCTCACACGCCGTGTCGGTAATTTGATGCCTTGTCTCAAATGCTATCAATCCTCACTCGCTGTCGCGATGCGATTGCATCGGGATGTACAGTTCTTTACGGCTCACTGTAGTCTTACATATCCTGCTAGGTGCCCCTAGTGAAGGACTACGAGCAGTGGCTTGAGTGATGGATTGCAACAGCTTCTTGGAAATCCAAGAAGTTTGGTTCGGAGACTGCAAGACACGAGAGAACCTCGAAAAACCTATGCAGAGGAGTTCCCCGAAATCCGGCCTGGCCTGCTGAGATCGCAGTGATCCCAGCCCTGCGCATTGAAGCGAGCGAAGCCATGGTGGGACGTGCACTGCCGGGACCGGGACCCACACCAGGGAGTCACCTTGAGAGCTCTGAAAGGCCCGGAGCCGGAGCCGGCGGAGGGTTTAGCTCCGGCAAAAGCCTGCGAAGCAAAGCTCAAAGCTGCGCTCCGCCGCTCCCAACAAAAGGCCGAAGAAAGGCCGAAGAAAGGCCCGGCCGGGCCGGGCCCGGCCGGGCCGTCCCCGCCTTTCCGGCTCTGCTCCTCCCTCTCTCGGCTCTTTCTCGATTCTCTGGCTCTGGCAACTTGCCAAAAACGAAGCTGCACCTGAGTCTGCACAGAGCAGCCTCAGAGGCCTCACTGGGACGTGCAAAGTAGCTGGCGGGATCGTGCAGGCATTTAGTGCGACCAGCACCTCACAAGGCTCGTTCGTCAAAGTGCAACAAAGGCTCTCATTCGAAGCACACTGGCCTTCACTCGCCTACGGTGAGTGACCGGCGCCATCGGGAACAGGAACCTTCAGCTAGACACTTTGAGCTGAAACCTGCGAAGCCAATGACGAGACCGTCTGACGGGACCACTGCCGCGCTTGTGACTGTGGGCGTTCCAGAACGGAGATCATCCGGCACGACTCACATCTCTGTAGCGACGAACACATCGTGCCTCCAACACACATATTGTGCGAGAGCCGGCCACGGGAAGTGGGGTAGACTGAGACTTTCATGCAGAAGGCTTGTGCCAGGTTGAAGGCAAAGCTCTGGGCTCTCAGCCTAATCTAGTCTACACGCAGGAATGTTACAGTAGCACAGACACATGCGGGCGAATTATACGCACACATGCGGCGCATTTCTTGGAGCATTGACTGAATTCCAGCACCCCTGGAAGATGCGTGGCAGCAAACATCTGGCTCGCACCAGATGCACGCAAGTGTGGCGACCACGCATCTCCCGGTCGCTGCTGGTGTCTGAAAACTTCATTGGAACTGGTTTCGTTATGCACAGCAGCGACCTGGCACTGAAAACCACCACCCTTAGAGTAGAAGCTGCAACAGCCTTTCTCAGTTGTGCGCAGGTTCCTCAGCTCTCCCGAGGCAAACACCCCACCCCAGACACCCCTGGGCCCTGGCTCTCATGAGATGACGCGAACCACTGAGTTGTTGTGGTGGCCGAGCTTCAAAAATGAATAGCTTCGCAAACAACGACTTGGGCTGCAGGGAGCACCAATGGCCCCATGGGGCCGTTGACGCGTGCAGAGAGTGGGGGCGAAATCACCCGCCGGGCCGACTTTGCAGCCGCGGTGGAAATCCTGCAAAAGTCGGCCCAAGGCTTCCCGGCTTCCCTTGGTGCTGGGCACTGGCACTGCTACGCAGCTTGCTGTCCCAGCTCCGGCAGTCCTAACTTCATGAGAGCGCGCCGTAAGAATCCGCGGGTAGTCCAGGTGCACGTTGTGGAACATCGGCGACACCGGAGTGACTTGGCCTCTCGCACTAGAGCCACATCTACTCTGTCTGCAGCTCTGCCCACCTGATTGAGGAGCATGAACCCCGAACGCAGCATCTTGAGGGTGTTGAAGATGTATCGGTTTCGGAGCTTCCACCCTGTTGACATCTGAGCAAAGCCGGAAAAGCTTTCAATTTCACAAACAAGCAAGAGCGTTCCTTTGCTAAACTCTGCACCTGTCGTGAGCTGACCGAACATACCTTGCGGGGTTGAAGATGTGCCTCGGCTCACAGCTGTAAAGCCGCAGATGCTGCAGATCAGAATAAGCAAAACAAACGAACTGAACATGCTCAAATCCGGCTTTGGGACGCCCCCTCTTCATCTGCCGGAGGTCGGACCAACACGGATTGATTGCTCATCCGCACAGGAGGAACCACAGGACTTCTCCTCGCATTGGAATAAGTTTGGAAGCTGCTGCCAACTGAGAACTTGTCCTCTGATTCTGCACTCGATCGGCCATCGCCTCACCTCTAAGACTCTAAGACAGCGAAATCCCTGTCTGACTACGCCTTCTCTCGTCTGCAGCTCATGGATAGGAAGGTCACAACTCAAACAACCATGCTTCTTGGCTTCGTCTCTGAGAATAGCTTACGAACTTACAGAAGCCACAAAATCTTGCACCTCCAGGAAGCCGGAGGGCTGGCGAAGTCCTGCAAAAGGAAGGGTGAGGAACGATGGGAGAGTCGTCCTTCGCTACTCTCAAAACCGTGAACACAAGATGCGGCTAGGCCGCACCCTGGCACTAAGGAAAGCCTCGGCACCACAGGGTGGCCCCCGGCTTAGCCAGGCGAAAAGAGGGGGAAGATAATCAGAGAGAATGAAAAGACCGCGGGGTGTGGCAATGCCCAGCCCCGGCTCTGTCAGGCAGAAGAAAGAATGAGAGGCGCGACGGAAATGCCCCTGAACTCTGAACATTGGCCGTCCTCAAATAACGGTATTCCTGCGTCCGATGCCTGCACCCCCAAAAAAAGTTCCGCGGACTCCCGCCCTGGGCTTCTTCTGCTCTTCCTGAGTCTCACCCGTCTTGCGGTCCCCTTCCGACCTGTCGCGAGGCTTTGCCTTTTGGAGCAGGCGGAGACCCGACCTATCCGTGCAAGAGCCGCCGGTCTTCAAAGCGACGGATCTTCTTTTTGCTGAGTCGCGGCCCCATGCTCGGGAAGTCCGGCGCCAAACCATCAAGACGGTGCAGGGATACGATGGACTTGTCGGTAATGAGTCGCTAGTGCCTTCACTTACGGATAACACCAACGCGCGCGGGGAGGCACTTCAGGACAAAACCGACATTGGCATGTTCGGTCATATCCATATCCGGTTCCTCCTCCCTTCGGTCCACCTGTCCCCTCACGCCACCATGACGTCCAGAAGACCGGGAACAGAGAGAAGCAAGAAAGAACTTCATCATCACCTGACCCCAGGATCTTGAGCCAAAAAATTAGCGGAGCCATTTTGGCAGACGTCTCCTGACATAACATGTGCAGTCGAAAGCTTGCAGCAAGTAGTAACTCCTTCCGGAGCTCCGCGACGTAGGTGGCGTCTGTGGTGTATTGCTGGTAGGGCATTGGTGGAACGACGATTTCCTCCTGGCAGCAGGATGAACCAGGAAGGGACCTCAAAAAGACTTCTCTGCCGAGCGGCACTGAAAGCCCAGAGAGTGGCAGCATCAAGGAGGGCGATGCAGCGGACACTGGCGATGCGGCCACAGGGCTCGCAAGGCTGGCGCCGCTGGCCGTGGCAGCAGGCCTCGCAAAACAACTTGCAGACGGCCAGCAAGGCCATGCCTGGCAGCCAAGCACCACGCGATCGCCGCGAGTCCTCCACGAGCTTGGGCTGTGAGCTCGCAGGCGACCACGACACTGCGCCTCCGTCCCGCTCCGTCCGGTTGCACCGTGGAACCTAGCGTGGTCCCTGGCCTGCCGAGACTTCGTTTCGGAGCTCCTTCTGAGCCTTGGTTTCAGGTTCTCCAAGTTCGCAACATCCCTGACTCTCGCCACTCCCACCTCGTGGGAGGAGTCCTTTGTGTCGCCAGCCCCTGCCATCTTCCTTGGTGCAACAACCGCACGGAACCGAAAGTTGCAAACCACAGCGACAAGCGGTCCTCACAGCCATTGAACAGTCGCACGAGGCTTGAGACCGGCAAGGTTGAAACAAATGCCGATTTCAATTCTGGCGGGGTGCTGCTGAACGTCGCAGAGCTCCTTTGCCTCGAAATACCAAGATTGAGATAGACATTAGCTGCACTGCTGCATCCATGTCGTACCTTCGCGATGAGCTCATACTGTGCTTGCCTTAGGCTGCGCTAGTTGAAGTCGACGCCGACTCCCAAAAGAATCTCCAATTGCAAGGGGCTTCCGCTTCGACAGCTCCTCTGCCAGCTGCTGCTGCAGCTCCAGAACGGCCTTCACCCCACGACGACATCCGGCTTCCGTCAGTTCTTGATGTTCGACGAAACGAAAGGCCTCGCTGTTTCCCTTGGCAATGCGGTTCTTCCGCTCCCTCGGCGAGTTGACCGATCTCCCCTTAAACTCCCCAACCCACGGAAAGCATTTTTCAAGGCACCGGCTGCTCCTTCAAATGATCCTCAGGCACAGGAGCGAATTGCTTCCGTCGCTGCAAGACACTGCTGTGATCACGCAAACGGAGGTCTCCTGCAACAGCTCGACGCGGCTTTGCAGCCTCCCGTCTCGCGATGCACGAACGGAGGCTGCACGACCAGACCAACGGGCCTTGTGACGACAGCCTCCATCATCTCGATCTTCTGGTCCTGACATGTCGTGCGTCTTCCTAGAGCTACACTACGGAACTTCAGGAGTCCTTTTGGAGCGAACGCTGCCTTTCCGCTGAAAGCTCTTCCTGGTGGCGGGTGCCAGAAGCCGGACGAAAACGGGACTTGCCCAAATCCCCTGCACCTCGAGTTTTGCCACCTGCGCCTTACACGGAGAATTCTTGCCGTCACTTAAAGAGACATGAAGGGACCGGATATTCGGAGGTCAGCTATGCGTTGGCTCCAGCCGTGCCAGACGTGTTATAAACGAGTGAGGGCCGTTGCCCTCGGGCTGTCGAAAGATTGCGGCAGGCAGGCACCAAGAAGGGCAGGGATCCCGGAAAGCTGCACCTGTCCTTGTGAGGACATGACTACGCCTAACATAGTGAGGCTTCTGGTTCCTGCTGGAACAACCTGGTCAATAGATTCCAGGTGTATGCAAATCTCGAGTCTGGTTGAACCACAACGTTGGTTTACGCAGTAACCACTCTGTGTGTGTGTGTTTCAAACCACAAAAAAAGCGCCCGGGTCTCTTCTGGAAACTGGAGATTCTGACACAAAGGAAAGCTTCCCTTCGTGATCCTCACAAAGTAAGGTACCCGGCCCGAGCACCACGAAGTGCTAAAGAAGGTGAAAGCCAAAGACGAATCACTGCAGACGATGTCTGATGGCCAGTGCAAGACACCATGTGAAACAAACGCAGATGGTCTCACCGTGTGGGAAGCTCACACGTGTGCGGCCTCGAGTGCAGGTACCGGGTTGGATGGAGCCTGAGTGCTACGTGTGTGCTATCTCGATCGTCGAAAACGTGCCACTTGTCAGCACTCTCCTGAGCAGCACACCTCCCCATCTGACATGGTGCTCATCATGCTAGGGGCTAGGTCCACGATTCTCTACGCAACATCCCGAGATCGTGCTCCTGCAGAAACTGCACGCATGTTTATATACAACTCCGGATGCTGTCCTTCATACCGTCTTTTAAAACTACAGGCTGCCAATGTTGAACTGCAAGGCGCCTATGGATTGCTATAAGTCCTGGAGCAAGACATTGGATGAAAGTTGACGACGAACTACTTGTCACGATACTGTTGGACTGGGCATGCGCTTTGCCTGAACATTAAAGTCACCGCCGAATCGGCATTCTGAATCTGTGCTGTGGGTCCTGAACCTCGTCAACAAAATACCAGTGATGACCACAATCCAACTCTTTTCCTTCACAGTCCTCATCACTCTGCTGACACCAAAAACAACATGAGCAGCGGGCCACCAAGAACATGGCATCGTTGTTGGCTGGAAGGAGTTAGAACGGATTAAGTAGAATATCAGCGCACACCGACTCATGGCGATCCCGGCTCAGCACAGCGGCGTCTGGGAAGCTCTACTCCTAGCAAGATGTGCCAGATCTTGTGAGTCTTGAAAATTTCAATATCAAGGAATGATCACCAGCCCAGGCTCCTCCATCTCGCTCTGAAGCTTCCAACCTCCCCGCCTTTGTTTCAGCAGCATCTTGCCTGACATGCGAATCCGAAAAAGCTCACAGGGAAGCTCCCGCTCACACGGACCATTCGCTGCCAAGCCTTTGCACTCTTCCGGCATCTCTCTGATGGGCTCACCAGTGTCATAGGGTGAATACACGATGCCCTGGGCCGAATGCTACAGTCGCCGGGTGACCACTGAGCCTTGCAGTCCACTGGGCCTCCGTGTAGTGGTCGTAGCGAATCGTATTGGCACGCGCCCACCACTCCTCTGATGCAACCTGCCATCCCAACAACAGCGACACCATCAGCTGGCAGTGTAGATCAGTTCAGCATGCCAGCCAGGGTCCCGGCACCAGGGATGAGCTCCCAACGGTACATCACTGGGATGACCTGCAACTGCGACACATTTCGAAGCCGCTCTCATCCACTTCTTAGTCTGGCCTTGTATGCTGCCCACACACTGGCCAGGCCGCCGACCACTGGCATTACCTGCATCACCAACTGTCACCGAATCCAGCAACCTCCGCGCTTCAACTGCCTTGTCCATGGCGAGCCACGGCAGAGCCACGCCAGCGGCCCCTGGCTACACAGAGACGCAGCTGCGCAGCTCGAGCCGATCCAAGCGCCAGGTACAAACCGGACAGGGGAAGCTACGGATGCGAAGTGTCACCACAGAGATGCAACGACTCTGCTTGGGACTGAGTTTGCTCTTACCGGCGAACTTCGGAAAGTATTTGTGGCCATTCAATCAAAGCATACACGGAAAGTGTCCGCTGCATTTCTGCTGAAACCAAAAACAACATGAGCAGCCGGCTACCGAGAACATGGCATCGCTGTTGGCTACCATTCGGCACCGAAGTTGGATATGAATACCACAGTACCAAGATAGACCCCTTAGTGTCTCGCTGGAAGGAGTTAGAACGGATTAAGTAGAATATCAGCGCACACCGACTCATGGCGATCCCGGCTCAGCACAGCGGCGTCTGGGAAGCTCTACTCCTAGCAAGATGTGCCAGATCTTGTGAGTCTTGAAAATTTCAATATCAAGGAATGATCACCAGCCCAGGCTCCTCCATCTCGCTCTGAAGCTTCCAACCTCCCCGCCTTTGTTTCAGCAGCATCTTGCCTGACATGCGAATCCGAAAAAGCTCACAGGGAAGCTCCCGCTCACAGGCGGACCATTCGCTGCCAAGCCTTTGCACTCTTCCGGCATCTCTCTGATGGGCTCACCAGTGTCATAGGGTGAATACACGATGCCCTGGGCCGAATGCTACAGTCGCCGGGTGACCACTGAGCCTTGCAGTCCACTGGGCCTCCGTGTAGTGGTCGTAGCGAATCGTATTGGCACGCGCCCACCACTCCTCTGATGCAACCTGCCATCCCAACAACAGCGACACCATCAGCTGGCAGTATAGATCAGTTCAGCATGCCAGCCAGGGTCCCGGCACCAGGGATGAGCTCCCAACGGTACATCACTGGGATGACCTGCAACTGCGACACATTTCGAAGCCGCTCTCATCCACTTCTTAGTCTGGCCTTGTATGCTGCCCACACACTGGCCAGGCCGCCGACCACTGGCATTACCTGCATCACCAACTGTCACTGAATCCAGCAACCTCCGCGCTTCAACTGCCTTGTCCATGGCAAGCCACGGCAGAGCCACGCCAGCGGCCCCTGGCTACACAGAGACGCAGCTGCGCAGCTCGAGCCGATCCAAGCGCCGCAGCTCGAGGGGTTTCCGCAAGCATCTGCAACTCCAGCAGTAAAATTTGCCATAGTCTCATGCGTCTGCAACATTTCTAATCGCGAGGGTGTCGGGAATCATCCTGGCGAGTCAGCTGCACAGAGCAAGACATCAACCTCAGTCAAGCAGTCACTCGGTCTCATGCTGCTCTCTTCCCAGTTCAAGTCAGATAACTGGCAAATATTGCACGCAGCTTCCCACGAAGATGCGAAAGTTCGATCCACGAATCATCTCGGGTCCCTGGACACGGTCTAGATCTCACACAAGGAGCCAGCTGTCAACATTGGAGGAGAACAGTATACAAGCAGCTTCGACAGCCATGGCGACAAACAAATACTCAGTGATCGGAATGCTCACTATGGAAGGCTCCCACAAGTTCCAGGAATATGAAATGAGACCGTGGCTCGATGCCGGACACACCCTGGCCCTGCACTGTAAGCAATGCCCTGGCCATGCCTCTGAACCCTTCCTGAACGAGTTAGAGTTCCTGATATGGAAAAACTCCGTTTCAACTTGGCAGCCCGGTGATGGGATTTGCGGATTTGCGCGATGCCTTGAAATTCGCCTCGGCCCCAGCCGAAAAGGTCAGAGTTTCTTCTGGGGAATCCCTGTTTCCCCACCTCTTAGTCCCCTCCCCAGTTTTGAAGCAGGAACTGGGTTCGAGAGTTTCCAACCACACAACAAAGCCTCTTTTGCGTTCGAGCCCAAGACGTCTTCACGAAAGAAGCGTTTAAGCTAGACATGAAAAACTCTCTACGCGTGAGGACGGTCAACACGGCACTGCAAGACAGGGAAATTTCACACCCGTCTTATCTGTAGTGTGACGTCCGAATCATGCTCGAATTTTGGTCGCTTTGGACCAACCCTACTTCGCCGGATTATACCGGGAGCTTGCACGATCAACCGAGCCGAGCGCGGCGACTCAAGGCTCAAGGCTGAGTTCTCCAGTGCTCAAGCGGAGTGCTTTCGGTACTTTCCGTATTCTGTGCGGCTGGCGCGGGCACATCAAGTACCTGTACAAGATTGCGATCAATACTTTGATTGATCAGAAGCGGTTTCATACTTTTGGTAAGGCAATCTGCGAGCTGTAGATGGGTCGGGATCCATCTCAACTCATCACCATATGGGTGATGCAGGCTGTGCGTCGGCTCATCCTCCTCCCAGAGCCCTTGGCGTAGCCCGGTCATCTCTATGGCGAGGCGTTTGTCCTCGCATGACTTTGGAATCGATGCTGTCAAGTGATCCGAGAGGGACCTGCAGTCCGTATACTGCAAGTGAAACATCGATCTCTTTGCCACTTCTTCCCAGTTCTGTGACCGGGGCAGTTTGCCAAGTACTTCGAGCACGGCCGCACGTATGCGATCCCCATGCTCTATGGCGTGTTGCAACGAGTAAGCCTCACACTGTAGTGTGGCACGACAAACTCGTTTCATGGTGCATGATGAAAACGAAATGAGGTGCATCTCATGCGTCGACGCACTCTTGTCCACCGCCGACTGTGCGGAGGTGAGATAGTGAAAGCGGCCTCTTTGCGACTTGTGGTTCGCTTCTCCTGCGAAAGAGGCATCGCAAAACGTGACAACTGCCAGGTCCCCTGTGCTCCAGGGTAACTTAGCACTGTACGTGATTGGCCTATCCGCATCTCCCAACGCAAGCGCCACTACGCGGTTTGCTTCACGGAGCGTATCCACCGTGGCTGTCGTAACGCGCTGCTGCAAGGCGTTTACTCTGTAGGCAAGGTCAGGTCTCGTGGCGCGGGCCACCCAGGCTAACGAGCCTATGACAGACCTCAGCGCTGTGCGCTGGCCATTTGAACAAACTTCGGACTTTTGCAAGTACTCTGAGCCTGAAAGTCACGACGATCACACATGCTTCGCATGCTCTCCGAGAAAACTACACGAGTGGTCAAAAGCTACCAAAACTGTTCTAGCAAAATAAGAGTACAGGGCATAGGAGAAAATGTTGATCACCCCGCCCGGACATCCCCAGTGACTTAGACTGGAAGATGTTCGCATCAACATACAGCGTACGATACATCACAGTAGCGACCACTTCTTACTACAGTACACGGCTCAACAAGTCAGCGTAGCTACGATCTAAAGTCGTCTATACACTACGCGCACTCCATCAAAGGCTCGGACAGCCTATGACGAAATGCAAGCTTGACTCACCCAAGCGTAGGCGTTGCAAGTTCAAGCGCTCCTGTCAAGAACCAAACAATTCATGGCGGATCATGCATCATGCTTAACATTGATGCCCGGGATTATAGCGGCCTAGTTACCGCTGAAAGCTCATCACGAGACTTTCTTTCGGAGTCATGACCGCTCCACGGTCAACACAATCGTTGTTCAGACATAACTAGATTGACACCAAAATGGTGTATCGTGCACAGTCTTGCACGCTCCAAGGATGGTTCACACATCAAGGTCAAGAATGATTCACAGGTGGTTTTCTGAAGCTATGTACAATCGTCGCTGGTCGTCAATGACACACACACAAAGGTAGTGCCACTGACTATGTACAGATGGCCAATGCATCAGCATCATGAGCATTCAAGACACAAGTGTGTTGCGACACGCAATCCAAGGATCATCACTTTTGTTTCTTGCTGCCACCAAAGCAACTTCCGCACGGCTTGTAACCTCGCTCACGGGCTGTGGCGATTCCAAGCTTCACGATCTCATCAGCATTGTTCAGACAAGTGCAATTCCTGCTTTTGTGGTACGACTTGCCTCGTCTCAAAGTGCAATAAACATGCAACTCAGGCACATGCTGGATCACATCGTTGGAACCGCGTGCGGCATCGCCATCTATGAAGATAGCACGGTTCGGCTCTGGCATTGGCATCGTTCTCTCTCTTGTTCGATCTTTCGCCTCGTGGTATTCTCCCCAAGCGATACGGTCGTAGTTCATTTCAGCGATCAATCTGCTCAAGCGCTCGTTCTCCTGCTCAACGGCATGCAGTGCGGCTCGCACCCGTCGCAGGCACATCATGATTGCCAGGCAGAACGCTGAAAGGCTGCAGGTGAAAGTCAATGGAACCCAATTCCACCAACCGTCGGTTCCCTGCTCGTACACTTCTTCGGTGGAGGTGCTGGCATTGCTCACGTTCAAGGTGATGTCATCTTCATTGCCCTCTGTGGTCCATAGCCGCCCAAGGCTCAAAGATTTCAAGGCAAGAAGGATAGCACATGTGCAAATCACCAAGACGGCCAGCGACTGCGCCCACCGTGCATCATCATCGGTCTGCACACCGACTTCACGCCTGGTACCACTGCTCTCGGCACCTTGCACAAGCGACAGCATCATCACCATCATTGCAGTGCTGAAGCTCTGCATCCCGTTGCTCTTCAGCGTCTTACACACAAGTCTGCGAACTCTCTGTGTTTCACGCTCACGCTGCAACTGCTCCAACAACGCATCATGCTCTGCACGGCCTACCTCCTCTATGCAGTCACCCGCACAGCACACAAAGTCATGCATGCACAACAAAGCACGTAGGCGGGATCCTGAGCACGGCACCTTGGTTCCCAGATCCGATGGGTTCCTCCTCCCATCGACCGGCTGCACACGGAGTGTGCGATCGGCTGTCTTCTCCTGTATCCAGAGAAAGCGTCCACTCAAATGCCGAATCTTCGATACACCTTGCTTCAAAGATATCTGGCGACAGCTTTGACTATCAGTCCTCATCCAAAGATCCACCGGTAGTTCAAGCAGGTATTCAAGAACTCTTTTCAAGTAGATGCCGTCGCACGCCGCGGAGACCAGAGCGTAAAATTCGCTTTCAGCACTACTGAGGCTTACGCAGCGCTGGCTCTTGCAGGAAGTATAGACGCAGCAGCTGTTCAGAAAGAACGAGCTGCTGCTCATCGACCGGCGATTCTGCTTGTTGCCGCTCCAGTCTGCATCACAGAACACCTCCAGCAGAACGCCATCAAGACACTCCTCGGCATCAGGTGGCTCAAGAATGCTTGCTCGATCGCCCTTGGCATGCACCTTGCTTGCGTAGCCGGCCGTTCCAACAAGATACCCTGCAAGGCGTTGCGCAAACTGCCAGCCGCGCTCGGTCGGTGCTTTAAGGTTCTGGGCTAACACCCTCACCGTGAAAGCAATGTCACTCCGATCCTGTGACACATACATGCCTATCCCAACGGCGCTGCGGTACTTGGCTGCTCGAGCAGAGTCCAGCTCCTTGCTTGCATCCGGCATGAGAAGCTCCTTGGTGCACGGCGTAGGGAACTTCCGATGCAACGGCACATCAAGAAGGTTTGCCAAATTCACAGCATGGTCCGCAAGTGGCTTTATCAAGATCCCATCATCAAGAATTATGTGCTCTCTTTTAAGAAACTTGAAGCTGTCTCCAGGCATGCAGGCTACCTCGTAGGACACTTCAAAGGTTTTCTCAAAGCTTGGGACTAGCTCTTTAAGAAGCCACTGGACAAACCCAACCAGGCACAAGTCATCTACATGTATCAACCCGGGGTTTACACGGCCCTTGGGATCAACGATCTTATACACCGATGGGCACTCAGCACAGCTTGTGAGCTTGTGCTCCTCGCGGATGTAGTTCATGATGAATTGATGCCATCGGGCTGTCCCGTCCCGCTGTCCAGGGAGCATCTTGAGAAACCGCATTCGGCTTGCAAATCCAGGGATCTTGGCCAGCATGGGACGCTCCTGAGGGACGTTAAGAAAAGCGTCACGCACATCAAGCGCGATCACTCCTATGCGGTCGGTCTCATCAGGAGACTCTCTGGCTTGCCGGCTGAGCTCGCAATACAGCCACGGCAAAAGCTTGGTGGTGATGGCTGACGTTGCTGGTGCATAAAGATCCTCTCTGTCCCGCTCCAGCCACCGGTACTCGCGAGCTACCAGCCTGGACCGTCTAAAGTACATCATCTTGTCTTTGTGCAGTTTCTTACGCCATGTCCTCACGAACTTCGAAGACAATTCCTTGTGGTCCGACGTGTCCACTTCATCCCCGATCTCCTCAAGGACGCCTTTACGAAGCAAGCGCTGCACCTCGAAAGAATCAGCGATTCGATCAAGCTCCTCTTGCTGTTGCTCGGACAAATCAGGGATCGAATCATACCAAAGACACTCTTCGTTGTCAAGGGCATGGCTGTCCTCAGTGTTAGTCACGTCCCATTCAGCTGCAGCCTCATCTGACAACTCAAGATACCTTTCAGCATCCTCCCACTCAGGGGTTGATTCAAGAACCTCATCATTGATGGGAAGCT